ATCTTTAAACTTTCATTTAAAGATAAGTTGATATTTATTTTGTTGATATTTAAAAATACAAGTGGTTTTTGTACATTCATTTTTAAAATTTAGCATCTTTCCTAAGTTCTTGCTTAATTTGTTTTTAGATCATTCATCTGCAAATGATGGTTTTTAGTTCCTTAGTAGTAAGAATATGGTTTGCTATCTTATATTCCTATACATTTTCTCATTCATTAATGTTTAAATTTATGTAGGTAATATTGTTCTGCAGCTGTACTTGTGAATTATATTAATTTTTTTTTAAGACAGAATCTCATTTTCTTACCCTCAGTAGAGTGCTTTGGTGTCAGAGCTCACAGCAACCTCAAACTCACGTGATTCTCTTGCCTCAGCCTCCCAAGTAGCAGGGACTTTAGGCACCCGCCACAACACCTGGGTATTTTTAGATATTTAGATATTTTTAGCTATTTTTAGGTTTTGCTCTGGCTCAGATTGGTCTCAAACCTGTGTGCTTAGGCAATCTACCCGCCTCGGCCTCCCAGAGTGCTAGGATTACAGGCGTGAACCACCGTGACCCGGCATTAATTGATTTTCTAACGTATAGCTAGTCTTCCATTGCAGGAATTAATTCAACTTTGTCATGATGTATTTTTTTTTTTTTGTGGTTGAATTTAATTTACTAATACTTTCAGATTTTTACAGTTATGTTTGTGAGGAAGGCTTTAAAATTGTTAATTCTGGTACTATTTTCTTGGTCTTGGTGTGAGTAATTTACTGCCCTTATAAGGGTCTTCTTTCTAATTTTTGGAAGAGTTTCCTCTAAGAGTGGAATTTCTTTCCCCCCAATTATTGGTAGAATTCATTAATGCAGTCATCTGGGTTGGGAACTTTCTTTGTGGTAGAAAAAAATCCCATATGGTTTAATTTTGACTTCTTTTAAGAACATAAAATAAAAGTACCATCCTTCTATGATGACCAAACTAGTAGTTATAAGTGAAAATTCAGTCATGAATTAATACTTTTTACCAAATAGGTTGAGTTGGTCTGTTTTGTGTCTATGATTTGAGGTACATGCCACATACTTTTTGTCCATAAACAATTACTTAGTATATGAATACAGTTATATTTTATTTTCAAATTTTTTTGAGACAGAGCCTCAAGCTATTGCCCTGGGTACAGTGCTGTGGCATCACAGCTCACAGCAAGCTCCACCTTCTGGGCTTAAGTGATTCTCTTCTCTCAGCCTCCCGAGTAGCTGGGACTAGAGGCGCCCACCACAATGCCCAGCTATTTTTTGGTTGTAGTTGTCATTGTTGTTTGGCAGGCCCAGGGTGGATTTTAACCTGCCAGTTCCTGGTGTATGTGGCTGGCACCTTAGCTGCTTGAGCTACAGGCATGAGCCTACAGTTATATTTTAAAAATAGACTATGTGCTATACATTGCTTTCATACAATTGTTTAGATTTGTGTTCTAAGCTTTTCAAGTCTGTGAGATTTCTGAATAATCAATCTTGTAAGGAGCCCAAAGGGCTTTGAGCTAGGCTCTACTTCTGGCTCTGTGGGTTACTCTCTTGGGCATATTTCCCACTTTCTGGGCCTCACATTCTGCAGCTGAAAAAGAATTATCTATTTCAAACAGATTTCATGAGGACAACTGAGAAGTGCTACCATAAACCAAGTAAAGATTTTAAAGTTGGTGAATGTAGGTAAAATGTCAAAAAAAGAGTTAGAAGGAACCTTTGAGGTTTGTGTGAGTCTCCAGTTTACAGGAATAGAGTCCACGGATGCTGGAGCAATGCCCAGTGTTATCTGTAAGTAGCTAGTGTACTCAGCTGGCAGTACAACCCAGGCTTCCCAGTTCCTGAATCAGTAGGCTTTTCTTGTTTGGCTTTCCTTGAAATGAAATGCTAGGTGATGGAGAGAGACTTTGACTTCTTCAGGTACATAGTTAAATACTAGTACATAGTTAATACATAGTATATTATTATGTACATACATAACATAATATGTACTTAATAGTTAAATACTAGTATTACTTCCAAGAGTTTAGTAGAAACGTATACGTGACATTAGGGGGAAGAAGGAATTTTAAGACTTTAGTTTCTTAAGTTACAGGTAATTAAAACGGCTGTCAAACTATTTATTGAATTTTTTTCCCCTCAGAATGTAGACAAAGAGAGCCTTGTTATACTCTTCAGGGATTAAAATTCATTTAATACAATAAGAAGTAAGGTCCTGTGTGATTGCTATATAATGTCCTAGAAATTCAGTTGAAATTTTACTTAAAAAACCATTACTTCAGTATTATTTTAGTAAAGTCTTAAGTAATACTTAGCATGAAGACTTTCAAACTGATTGTGCTTGTTAGAGTAGCTCCTTGAAATCCAGGATTTTCCCCCGTAATTCTTTATTGTTTCCTTCAAATTCTTCAAGTTGATACTGCTAATAGAAAGCTTTGTTATTATTTGAGCTTTGAAACCTCCATATGTTGCCGTGTTTGTGGTTTCTTCATTCCCAGAGGGAGCATCTTTGCTCTCCTTGCTGCAGTATACGAGGGCCACCATGAGCGGCTCAGCACCCTCCCTCCCCCTCGCTCTGTCCCCTGTCCCCCTGCCCCTCCGTAAAGCAGGGCATGTATTTTAATTGCTAACCCTTATCCTCGGTTTTGGTGTCCAATTTCATTTAAGAATTTCCTCTTTCCTTCCTTCCTTATCCTTTCTTTACCTGGGAAATGACGAGGTACTTTATGGACATGTTAAAAAGAGGCACCCAGGCTTGTGAGGCTTTTAAAATTTTAAAATCCCAAGCGTTTTTGACTGTGTAGCTTTGTAGGGAATGTGTTTAGCATAATTTCAGTAAGTTTTAAAACATTTTCCTTATTTTGGTCAGACTTTTAGTTTTTTGGAAGTAACACTATCAAGTGCTAAATTTGTCAACATTTTGAATGCAAAATTTTTAGGAACAGAGGCTGTGTTCTTTCTCTTTAAATACTAATTTCTTTGAGAATTGAGTGAATGTATATATTGAATTATACTTTTATTGACTTGAAGAGTGGATTTAATATGGGTTTAGCTACTATATTGGCTTGTGGCTTTTTTCTTCTGAAAATCAAAACATTTTCTTTTAAAGAATGTATTAGATATAACCTCATTACAGAGTTGTAAATTACGCCTGCCGTAGAGAAAGGGTTAAATATTTTTTTTTAGGCTTTGTAGATGTTAGCTACATTAGTTTTATAGGTTTTCTAGAACTGTTTATTTATTTTTTATTATTCATAGCAACCTATGAGAGATTATTTTATGCTAATTCTGTAGCTGCGGAAGCTGAGATGCAAAGATGTTAAGAAGTTTGTTGAAGATTACATCCTTAAGAAATAGTGGAATTAAGATTTGAGCTTTGGTCTCACTCCAGGGTTGGTAGTCTTTGTTGTGAATATGACATGAAGAGCATGCCATAAAGGGGGGTACATTTGTTGTGGGGTGGTGCTAGAGATGGGGAGGCCATTATAGAAAGGCTGTGAGAGAAGTGACGAAGTTATCTTTTAGGGGAGCGGAGGGGACATGTGAGGTGGGAACTGGATTTGAGCTTTTAATAATTAGCTGAAATACAGATGTTCTCACTTTTTCTGCCTATCAGAAATAGAGCTAAATGCTTGTTTTTGGAAGACCAACCCAGACTTCTGCTCATCTTCAGATTTCTCATCTGTGAAGAATATTAATCTTAATTGTGAGGAGGATTACTACATTTAAAAGAAATCACATCCTTTAGTGACAAAGCTGTTTCTCTAGATGAAAGCTGCTTTATGCCCAGATTGTGGTATCAGTGGAAGTAAGATTTTTTTTATGTAGGACCTACACAGTAATAGCAGTTGAGGAAGCAAAGCTAATATTACTTCAAAGTGATCAGTACTGTTTCATGAATGATTTTTTTTCATCTCATTCTAGATCTTTTGAAATCATTTCTTAGAAAATTCTGATTGAGTTCTGCAGGCAAGATGAATGTAGTAATTGTCAGTCTTTTTGACAGCATGTCCTCCTAGGCCGGTTTCTGCCTGTGTAATGCCACCTTGAATCTGTCGTTTCCTTTTGTCCTGAGTGGAGGGAACTGTTGCAGTGCTCCAATCTGTCATGTGATAGGCGGAATTTTCTTGGATTATAGAAGAGTCTTCTTGTTGTTAATGGGACCACAAAAAAAGTTTATGGTAGGTAGTTTTTAGTATCTAATCATTCAGAAATTTAGTTTAAATAGCTACAAACTTTCTCTAGAATTACAAAATGCAAAGTTGTCTTTGTACTTGTTATTAAGTTTTTTCCTATGTGGTGGCACATTATGGTGGCTGCATACTATAGTGGAACTAGTGTGAGTTCCAGGAACTAGAAAAAATTTACCTTGTAAATATGTTTTTGTCTGACCTTGTTAGCACAGCCTCTCATTGCTTGAGATAGTAACATAAACTGTGTCCGTGCCTCTAGTCTGTTGTTCTTAAATCCACATTTTGCAACTGTGTGAATAGTTTATGCAGAACACCAGTCTGACACTGTCTGATCCCTGTCTCCCTGAGTCTCTTATTGCATATTATGAGTTCTGTTAAATGCTTTGAGTTGTAACCAGAGAAGCTCCTTTGGCATTTAATTTCCATGAAGACTTGCTAGCTCGACAATTTTGTGTAGACACATGTAAAAGTGCATGATTTGGGTGAAATATTTTAATGAACTAATCCTTCCTATTATGCTTCAAGTATTACTTTACTTATTTACCTATTTTTTGATAATATTTATTGAAATATCTGATAGGGGTAGATGTTAATTGAGATGGGGTATAAAATTGTAAAAAGATAGAAATAGGACGCATAACTGATAGTAAACAAGAAATTGCCAGAGATACCTAACAGCTAGCTTCATAATACTAAAGGCCAGATTCTGCTGAATCGGTAGATCCAAGATACTGAGAGAAAATTGTATGAGAAGGAAATAACTGTTCTTAGTGGCCAGGATTTTTTTTGTTTTTTTTACATCTTAGGGTCTGCAAACACCTTTAACAATCCTGTTTTCATGATCTCTGAACAATCTCGGAAAGTAGGAATGGTATGTGCAGGCTGATAGGTTTGATAGGTTAAAACATTTTTTGAAGTATAAGTATATTGACATCAATAAATGGTTCACAGTTAAAGTTTAGTTTGCTAAGTGTTACTATATGCATATACCCGTGAAATGATCACCATAGTCAAGGTAATGACCATAAACATCATCCCCCAGAGTTTTGTCAGGTCTTTTTTAGAAGGAGACTTAGAAAGGAGCAGTCAGGGAGGAGGAGAACTAGGATATTATGTTGTCTCAGAAACTAATGAAGGAGAAAATAATCAGCGGTGGCAGTGCTTACTGATGGGCAAAGTCACATGAGAAATGAGATGATCTATTGGGTTTAGTAACGTAGAGATTATTGGTGATTTTGGCCAGGGCACTTTTGGTAGAGTGGTGTGTACAGAAGTCTAGTTGCAGTGGATTTCACAAGAGAGAGAGGAGAAAAATTGGAGATGGCGAGTTAGGAATGTTTTCAAGTTTTTTCTGCAATGGGGAACAAAAAAGTGGGACAGTAGTGAAGTGAGGTTGAAAATGTTTTGCCTTTTTAAGTTTTTTAAGAATGGGAGAAACAACTAATATGCTAATGGGAACAATTCATTGAGAGCAAAATACTAAGGATGGATTCTTGTAGTGATATTCTTGAGGGACTAAATTAATTGTTTGAGGGCTAATAAATTCTGTGATTTAGTTCATTTTGATTAGTCATTGGAGTTTATAAAAGTTCTCTCCTGATAAATACATTAAAATTTTTTTCTTTCAGTAAAATAGAGGAAGCAAAGTCATCACTGTAAGGATGGGGAGAAAGCATTTGTTATTGAGGATCAAGAAACAGAGTGGGAGAGCGAATAGAGCAGGGAGTTGTAGTATATATCACTTGCGTGGTGGCATTATGGGTGCAGTTGAGGGGTGTGGCTATTAACTGGAAACATTGTGTGAGCCTCTATTTAGATGCATGGATGTAGGTGAGGGTTGGTGGAGACTTAGATTTAACCAGTGTTATGGCTTTGCTAACCAAATGTGATGAAAATGAGAGAACGTCATTGAGGATGTTTGCAGAGGAGCGATTATGAATGGCCATGGATTAAGGTGGGAAAGGAGGGGAGAGAAGACATCAGAGGGTGAGGGACAGTAGTCTATGCAAGACATGATGTCGCTTCAAATAGAGCAGAGTCTGGGTAATACTTTGAAGATAGAGCCAACAGATTTCCTGATGTGGGATAGGATATATGTGGGAAGAGTAAAAGAAGGACTTCAGAGTTTTTGGCCTGAGCAATTTTAAGAATGGAGTTGCTGTTACCTGAAGTGTTTGGTGCTTTATTGTAGTCTGTGGTTTGGTTGTGTTTTGTTGATCATTCCATATAAAAAGAGAACATTTTTTAAGCTAGGAAAATATAAATCAAATCCATGGGCATATATTAATTTTCTATGTGGTTGATTCATTCAATAAGTAAATACAGTAGCCTCTGTAAGTTGACCTCCCAGGGGAATAAAACAAACTGGTAAGCATTTGGAGGTGGTCAATGTAGGAACTAGGCCTACTGTACTGATCTATACACGAGGTGCATCATCTTAGGTGTAGAGCAGTGGTCTGTTACAGAGGTTCTACTCTGCTCACTGAGTTCACTGTGTTCCAATTGGTATTCTAGGTGATGGGGTTATAACACTGAACAGAACACACACGTCAATAACTTTCACTAATTTTAGTTCATATTGAGAAAACAGTATTTTGGAAAATGTATAAAATAAAAGAGCTTATTGTAAACCATATTGTCCTTGTAATTGTTAGCTGGTTCAGTTGACTTTATATATATATTTTAGGCAAGTTTTATATCTTTGATACTATTCTTCTAGAAACTTACGTTATTATGCACTTATTTTTAAGATCACAGTTATTTTAAGACAGTAAGGTATTAGTGTTATATTCCAAAAAATATAAATGTAAGTTTGAAGGCTAATGAATTAGAATTTATTTTATTGTTTATGGACCACATGAGAATACTTTTTTTCTTACTGGAATCTGATACCCCATTTGCATCAGAAATGATATTCTACAGATTGATTGCCTGAGTAGTTTACAAAGTTTAAATCTCTCATAAATGGAAGGAATTATGCTATTTATTAAGATTATGCAGAAAACATTACAGGTGCTTTGGAATAATGCTTTTGTATGCACATATTTTAATATACTGATTAAATAATTATATTAATTTTAGTGTTATTTTCAATAAAACCTGGCATTTTGTGAGAGAGAGCCCTTGAATCATTACCATGGAAGAGCTGAAGTAAACACTTTTAGAGAAAAGAGGTTACTCTGAGAAGTTTTTAGCTTGCATACTGGTTACAAGCAGTGTTTGTTACATGTAAGGAATCTCCAGTAACTCTAACTCTGAACTTCTTTCCCTTCTACCTATTTGACAGCAGAAACAGATGTTAGAATTTTATATGGTACAAAAAGCCAGGTGAAATAGGATAGTTAGAAAAGGTTGTATTAGAGAATGAAGTTAACAATTTTAAGACTTAGGTGTCAATTCTTGCATAAACTATTAAGCAGATCCTTTTCCAGATTCAGATTTTTGCATGAAAGCTTTCTGCAGGCCGCGAACAAGTACTGACATCTCCAATTTCTTTCTCCTGCCTTAGCATGTCTTAAAGAGGCTGTTTTTAAAACTAGGAAGATATTAGTGTTTTTAAAATTTAGAGACATTATTATGTTTTCTGCTTTGATGTTTTAAGTGCCAATAAAGATTTCAATAAGCTTTGTAAACTGTACATTCCTTTATAGCCCTGTGTGTTTGAAGTTAAATTTGCAGAATTTTAATATGAATGGATTTTATGAAAACAAAACAGAAGCAGTGGCTGTGATTGGAGGTTTTTTTAAGTGAGAGAAGATATTGGTTGGCTGTTCGTTTATACATTGTATAAGTGGTTCCTAACTTAGAAATACTTGATGTACATACATCACTGAATATCAAGTCTTAGTTGTGGCCTCATTTTCTTGCTGTGCCACAAGCACATTGCATATAGCTTTGGTTCTCCTCTTGCTTTATGATTGTAGTGTAGCTTGGTAAATCTTCTATCATTATGGAATAGTACATGAAAGGGATGTTATCCTTGTTGCTGAGACCAAGTGATGTGATAATGGCCTCTGCTTCCCTGCTGGAAATGTGAATTTGTTTTTACTTGGAAACATTAAGAACTTTCTAAAATAATTGTTGAAACAAACACAAAATCAAATAGGCAAAACTTATTTTTAAATGAGCATTTTCTTTTTCAAAAGAAAAGGTTATTTACTTCTAACAAGTGGCACTTTTAATGAACCTGCTTTTAGAATCCTGTTTTGGAATTTGTTTTGTTTGCAGGATATTTTGGGGGGTATTTTTAAAACTATTTTTCTTTTAACAAGTTATGGGATGTAGGAAAAAATAAAGTTCTTTGGATTTGGACAAACCTGGGTTGAATTTCAGTGAGACAACTAGCTGTTTAATCTTGGGGAAATTACTTTACCTCTGGAAAAGCTTGGTTTATTCATCATGAGAAATAGTTTGATATTAACATGCAGGTTGCCAGAAACATTTGAATTAGTCGGGCAGAGCATCCAATTAATATTTTATATAATAGTTACACAATAAATTCTCTCTTCTCCCTGCTTCTTTCTTTGTATTTTAGAGTTTATTTGTCTTGGAATCAGCCGAAAGATAATTAGAATTAAGTCTAATTTTTTAAAAATTATAATTTTTGATAACTGTTAAGGTAATAGACTAGACTTAAATTTCAGGAGATTTAACATTTAATTCTTGCTGTGCCATTTATTAGCTTTGGGCACCTTATGTTTCTTTGTAGATGATATTAATAGGTATCTATTCAGTGCTGTTAATTGAGTCTAAATATGTGTAATACACTGTTAGATGTTATATATCTCATAGTAGCCTTGCGAAGTTGCTATTTTTTCCATTCTTCAGGTAAGGAAATTAAGGCAAAGGGTTAAATAACTTTCCTGAAGCTATACAGTAGCAGGCAGGGTAAGAATAAATTGAAAGTTTGTTTTCTATCTATAGAGTGTTCAACTTTTTTCATTTATAAAATGTGTGTGATTGTTGTTTAGTTCTTGCATGAAGTAAAACAAACCATGTATTGCTTTTGGATTAGTGCCTGGGAATAACAGTGTTCTCTTTATTTCCATAGTGTTGATATAGGTAGGGTAGTATTAATGATCTTTGTTCACTGTAGCTTGTGTTTTGGTTGTAACTTTCTTTCTTTATTGTGGTAAAATACACATAATATAAAATTAACTATTTTAACCATTTTAGGTGTACAGTTCAGTGGTGGTAATTACATTCATAGTATTGTGATAGCTCTCTTCTCCAAAATAACACAAAATAAGTAAAAATAAGCAAAGCTCGTTCACTACTCTGTGCATATAATAATGTTAATCAAAATGTTAGTGGCATGAGATATGTTCTCAAAAAAGCTAGTGCTTCTTGAAATCCTGGTTCTTAATTATTCTGGTTATGTTGATTGCAATTGTGTATGTCAGTGAGATTTTTCTGAACTTTGGAGAAAAGTTGGGAATTGCTCCTGGGATTTTGCATGGGTATGTGTGCCCAAATCTTCTTTTACATATAACATATTTCATTAAAATTTCAGTAACATCATGGGAAACCGGGAGTCCATAAATAACTGTATGTGTGGACCAGTTTATTTTCTTTTTGTGTAGCTTGCCAGTGGTGTTTTCTAACATATTAAAGATGTTACAGACAAAAAATTATTGCTTTCTAGGAGCTTATAATATTAAACAAATGGAAAAAAATAGGTAGCTGTCAATGGATATAGATAAATATAGCAGTATAAATGTACCTTTTTACTTTGGCAGAACATATCATTCACTGTGAATATAAGTGTAGATGTTTTTTAGATAGAGGAGGTGTTGGTAAATTGAGTGTCTATGAAGGTAATTTAGAGGCAGAGGGAGTACCTCGTGGCTTTCACCTTTATTTGGAGAGGATCTGAGAAGACTGACAGGAACTTCAGTTGCCTGGTGGGGGGACAGCTGGGGGAATAGGTGGGAGTAAAGTAATCAGAAGATGATAAATTTTAAAATGTTCCTGAAAAGTGGGAAGGGACCTAAGGAGCTGAATTTGTGTAAGATGAAACTATTTAAACCATTAGGAAGGTATATGTGATGTTAGCAATTTTTTAAAGGAGAATTTTTAGCTAACACTTATTTCTTTTTGCTAGGGTTCAAGTAAATTAATAGGTACTTTTTCTGCAAAGTAAGTGATTACAGAGATTCAGAGCTCCAAGAGGCAGTCGTCAGGAGGGGTTCTAGGAAGCGCCCTTTATTTTCTATTCATAACAATACTTAAGCCATGATTAGGGAGCATCTGCAGTAGTTTCCAACCTCGAAAGATTTAATTGTTGAACTGTTCAATGGCTGAGTAGATAGTAGAGATTCTAGAGACTCCTTGTTGTAGGAAGATGAGGCCCAATGGCAGAGGGTGAGCACCCACACACTGTGTTGAAAGAGGAAGAGCTTTGTTTTAGCCAGCAAGCTATGGCACAGAAAAGTTAAAAATGGCCGTGCTCCCTGACTGGCTGGGTTTTCTCCTTTTATCTCTGGTCCAAAAGTTCCAGCCTGGAGGTACCTTTCTCATTGGTTAATTTGAATCAGGCTGGAGAAGCGGGCTTTGGCTTTTACTGAACTTTTACAGGCTTTTATAGAAGCGTAAGTTCCAGGTCCCAGGAAGTTAAGTCTACAAATTCCTAAGAGTGGAGTCATCATGGGGAGGACTTCACAGGTGTATCCTTGGGCTTCTGGAGAAGACCTCTGTTCTCTTAGACCTTACTTTTTCTGGGTATCCTCTCTCTCTCTGCCTGCATTTTTATAGCTTCCTGGATATAATGTGTGTACCTATCCCTGTATAACAGGGGTCCTCAAACTTTTTAAATAGAGGGCCAGTTCACTGTCCCTCAGACCATTGGAGGGCCAGATTGTGGGCCCGGGATGAGTTGGCTGCTAAGCAGGACAGGCAGCAGCAGCAAAACCACCCGGTGGGCTAGATAAATGTCCCTGGTGGGCCACATGTGGCCCGCGGGCTGTAGTTTGAGGACGCCTGCTGTATAGCATGCATTTTTACAGCACCTGGTGTAGCATCGTATATCCCTATCCAATTTCAACTTCCCCTTTCTCATTTGTTGTTCTGGCATATAATATCCTCTCCATAAATGTTAGCATTTTTTTTTTTTTTTGAGACAGAGCCTCAAGCTGTCCCCTGGGTAGAGTGCTGTGGCATCTCAGCTCACAGCAACCTCCAACTCCTGGGCTCAAGCGAGTCTCCTGCCTCAGCCTCCCAAGGAGGGGGGACCACAGGCCCCCGCCACAACACCCGGCTATTTTTTGGTTACAGCCGTCATTGTTGTTTTGGCAGGCCAGGGCTGGATTCGAACCTGCCACCTTAGGTGTATGTGGCTGGTGCCTTAGCCACTTGAGCCACAGGCGCCGAGCCAATGTTAGCATATTTTGAATGTCTGTCATGTACCAGGTAATAAAATGTCATATATTGATATTCATTTTTCTTTAAAAAAGGATGCAACATCCTTATTACTTATTTATTACATTAAAAAAAAAGAAATATCTGTTGATCCTTTTATGTGGTAGGTTTTTATGGTGCGCTAGATACTGGAAATGTCAGAGAATACTAAGAGTATGAGACTGTGCCCTGGAGAGGCTATCAGAAGAGAAGAAAGACATCATTCACTCTACTTTTGAGTTTGTATCAGGTCTTTGGTATATTGAAAAATGACACCAAAGAATTATTCCCAAAGATTTTAGAGAAAATTTACTCTAAATATATTTGTAGTGAAGTATTTGATTTGCCAAATGATTGAACTATTAGTAAAAGTACTAAATGCAAGCAATATTTATTTTAAAAATTTTCCACAGTGGTAGTAATTAAGAAAATCCAAATCATTGAGATTTATAAGTAGTTGCCAGCATTATAAGCCAAGTTATTGTCAGAATATGATGTTAATGGGCTGGTAATGGGCTGCAGCCATTGGTTTGTGATTAAGAGTCACCTGGCTCCCTTCTTAGTTGTTTTTTCTGCATGAAATTTGCTGACTTAAAAGGCATTATAGGAGGGGAACTAACTCTAAAGACTTCATTTACTTTTTTCATCTTCATTTATTTAAGTTCTTATTTTCAAGTGCAATTTACTGGGATGACAAAGTATAGAATATGGCATATTTATTCCTCTAGTGAACATTTAATGCAATCACATTTGATGTATTTTGTAACTCTGTGTTTGGCCTGGCTCAGCCAAATAGAAGACAAATGTACCTTTGTTTTATCTGGACGACTTTTAGGCCTGAAATATCAGCCATATTTGTCTCCATTTTCATATTACATTCAGTTATCATTTCAGTATAACTTTTTCTTTCTATTCTTCCTGCCTTTTCTGTAGTAGTTTATATTCTGTTACTTCCTGCCTAGACTGTTGTGATAGGCATTCTTTGATAGCAAACATATACTGTGTTTCCCTGAAAATAAGACACTGTCTTATATTTATTTTTTCTCAAGAAGACACACTAGGGCTTATTTTCAGGCATGTCTCCCTCTCCACGTGGAAATGCAGATATGCTGCATAGCCACGCCCATCACTAGGTCTTATTATCAGGGTAGGGCTTATATTTAACAAATGCGTAGAAATCCTGCTAGGGCTTATTTTTTGGGTAGGTCTTATTTTCAGGAAAACATGGTACTCTAGATTGAAATAAAAGTAACACATCTTACTAAAGGAGATACATATGGCTGATATGCATATGAAAAGATGTTCCCCATCATATGCTGGCAGGGAAATACAAATTAAAACAGTGAGATATACTGTACACCTCTTGGAATGGCCAAAATACAGAACACTGACAACACTGCTAGTAAGGATGTGGAGTGACAGAAACTCTCATTCATTGTTGGTGGAAATGCAAAATGATACAACCACTTTGGAAGACAGGTTGGTGATTTCTTACAAAACTATTCTTACTGTACAATCCAGCATTTGCAGTCCAGTATTAATCCAAAGGAGTTGGAAAATTATTTGCACAGAACCACCTGTATGTGGATGTTTATAGTGGCTTTATTTGCCATTGTGAACACTTGGAAGCAACCTAGATGTCCTTCGGTAGGTTAATGGATCAATAAACTGTGGTATCCAGACAATGAAAGAAAAGAGCTATCAGTGCATGAAAAGACATGAAGGAAACTTAAGTGCATGTTATTACGTGAAGGAAGTCAAACTGAAAAGGCTACATACTATGTAATTTCAGCTGTGGTAGAATCTCCATAGTTGACCACCTCCCTCCATTGATAGTCTCCTTAAATTGACCTAATTTTCATTGACCAGGCATGTACTACATGTATGTATCAGTGCAAGAAGCCTAACTCCTTATGTTGACCACCTCTGTATGTTGACCAGTTTATTATAATCCTTTGGGTGGTCAACTTAGAAAGGTTCTACTGTATATGATATTCTGGAAAAGGCAAAATCATCGAGTCAGTAAAAATACCAGCAGTTGCTTGAGGTTAGAGGGGAGCAAGGAATTAATAGGCAGAGCACAGAAACCACTCTGCATGATATTATAATGGTAGATGTATGTTACTATATATCTGTCTACAACCATAAAATGTACAACACGAAGAGTGAACCTTAAAGTAAGCTGTGGACTCGGGGTAATAGTGACGTGTCAGCAGAGGTTCATCAGTTGTAACATGTACCACTCTGCTGGGGGTGTTGACAGTGCAGGAGGCTGTGCATGTGTTGGGGCCAGAGGGCAGGTGGGAAGTCTCTGTACCTTCTGCTCAGTTTTGTTGTGAACCTAAAACTGCTCTAAAAGATAAAGCATTTAAAAAAAAATAAAACTGACTATATGGTAAAGCATTTTTAAACTTGAAAGTGCTACACAAAATATAAGACGTAATAAATTTTCTCTTTCCTGTTACGTCTTTCATAATGTCAGTCTTGCTTAAAGACCATGGATGGCTCCTTTTAGATTCTTCTTACTGGTGTTCGTTGTGTTTCACTAACTGATAGCCCCAAGCTATCCGTACAGATTCGCCTCTTAGTGCTACTCCACCCATCCTATGCTGGTGTTTTCTTCTTCCTATTGGCACCGCAGAGGACAGTTCTTTGCTGTGTGGGATTGACCTCTGCATCGCAATTCCCATGCCTAGTACCAGTGACCTCCATGAGCAGCTGGGAGCGGGGAGAAGGGAGGCGGCAGTACAGTACTCGCGGTTGCGAATGAGCTTCTTGGACAGTCTGTCCTACCGTGGTTCCTACAGCTTGTCTTATTTCCTGTTTGTGTGTGCTTCTTTTCTCCTTATCTAACCATGATTACTGAAATCCAATTTCTCTTTCCTAAGGCCACTGAAAATCTAATTGCTTACATGTTAAAAGTCAGGCAGATTATTAGGTGTAATAATGTATAATAATGTATATAATAAGATGTATAACAATGATAATATAATAGTAATAATGTGTAGGAATCAATAAAGCAGGCCTAGTCCTTCACCTCTTGAAGATTTTGAGAACTGTCTTAAATATTTTAAAGTTCCCTTTGGCTGTTTTTGCATGGTATGTTGTATATTTTGTTCAATAAGTATTTAAACAATGGTGTTTGATAAGGGATAGATTTAAGGTTCTAGGGGGTATTGAATAGTTTAAGCAGAAGAGTAATGTTACTAGATTTGTACTGACTACTTACTTAGGTTTGACTTCAGTGTCATAAAGTGGTCAGAAATTTTGTTGTTAATTTCTACATCTTAGTTTTGCAACCAGCTAAGTAATTTCTCAAACATTTATATTGAAAAACTAATTGGTTAATTTGGCAACCAAGTATGTTTTGAGCACTTAGTACGTGCTCGATAGTGTTCTAGGCACTGAGGAAAGAGGAATAATAATAAAAAAAAAGCCTGGGATCTCCTGCTTGGATTGTAGTGGGGGAGTTACAATGTGAGCAGATAAATATGTAACATAGTGTACTGTGCAGTGAAGAAAAATTAAACAAGTAGAAAGATTCAAAGGGAAGGTTATTTTTAGATAGGGAAATAAGATGGCCTCTGAGGAGGAACATTTGAGTTGGAATAAAAGGAGTTAACCAGCCATGGATACATTTGAGAGAGCTTCTCAGGTCAGGAACCTGCAAGCTGGGGCTTTCAGTGAGTAACTTATCAGCACTTTTTTCTTCTTCATTGTTAACTTGAGAAAAATCTGTAGATCCCACTGGATGGACACTAACGGTGTCTTTTCTTTCTTTCTTTCTTTCTTCTTTTCTTTTCTTTTGCATTTTTTTTTTTGGTGGGGGCTGGGCTTGAACCCACCATCTCCGGCATATGGGGTCAGCACCCTACTCCTTTGAGCCACAGGCGCTGCCCGGGTCTTTTTTATAATGACAATAATGCTTAGTGTAGGCATAGTGAAATATAGAATACTTAATTTTCATACGTATTTTATGTGATATATAATAGACACTCCATAATTGACAGTTAATACCAATTTCTTAGTGTAATAATGGCTAGCAAGTTACGTTCTTGCCTACACTTGTCTTCCTGGAGAACACTTGCTGATTTTTTTGAGACAAGAGTCTCACTACGTCGCCCTCGGTAGAATCCCCTGGTGTCACAGCAACCTCAAACTCTTGGGCTTAAATGATTCCCTTGCCTCAGCCTTCCAAGTAGCTGGGACCTCTGGCGCCCGCCACAACAGCTGGCTATTTTTTTGTTGTAGTTGCCGTTGTTGTTTGGCAGGCCCGGGCTGGATTTGAACCCTCCAGCTCCGGTGTATGTGGCTGGCGCCCTCGCTGCTGAGTTACAGGCTCTGAGCCACTTGCTCATCTTTAAAGAGTCAGTGTAAACATCCCTTCTTGAAGCTTTTCTTGCTAGACATGTAGACTTGGCTATTCCTTAGTTTTGCTACCATTATATATCTATTACATGTATCTGCCATATATATGTTTTGCTACCATTATATATCTATTACATATATTTATTTATTTGCTACCATTAGCCAGTTTTGCTACCATTATATATGTATTACATATATTTATTTATTTGTTTTTACAAAACTATTGTATACCTGGCCTCTAACCTAGCTAGAGTCTGACTTTTAGATACTTGTTAGATATATTACTTGAAGTTTGGAGTTAATTTATTTGGCTTCTGATATTTATGGGTATCTAAACCATTCAACAAATATGTCAATCATTGAGGTAGACATGGAGAAGAAAAACTTAATACAGTGCATGTTGACAGTTAAGTTTGAAGTTATCATACGATATGATATACTTAATATTCTTGGTTTGTTTAAGGGAAGTGTGAATTAAAGTGGAGATACACAATCAGAAGAAAAGTAAAAGGTGTAGGTATGAGTTCTAGATTGTGAATATTATTCCAGAAGTGTTTAGTGAGCCCCTTCCATGGGCCACATCTATGCTTCTTGGTGCTCTGAGCTTTTCAGGTCCTCCAGTCAGGACCTGGCAAGATCTCTAAAAGTAATACTTTTTCTCTGACAGTGGTGACACTGATTCATTTATGTTCATTATATTGCCACTTGAGTATAGATGTGGAGTTCTGAAGACTTGGTTTGAAGCCAACTGTCAATTCTAGGGGTATAATTTTAAGCAAGTTACTCATGCGTCTCATATCCACATCTGAAAAATGGAGATAATACCTGCCTCACACAGGGCTGCAGGGAAACAAATATGTACATAAAATAAAATTGGTTTCTAGAGTACAGCAGACATTTCTTATTAGGTGAAATCATGTTAATTCATTTAACTTTATTTGTGCATAATCAGCCTTCATGTTTGGCTCAGAATACAGGAAAACGAGGTGGAATTTAATTGTGGTGTTGATTGCTGGCTTTGGTTTGGCTTCGTTCTGTCGCCAGAGATTTCCTTTTTCCTCAATGCAAAGTGCTGCTGTCAATCCAGAGAAAAGAAAAGAATGCTCAGCGTGTAATGCTAAAAAGAGAGATCACATTGCGTTTAAGACAGGTGAGGGTACTGAGTGGAGGAAGTTTGTCTTAGCTGCTGCAATGTATGGGCAGCATCCGACAGGTGAGGGTACTGAGTGGAGGAAGTTTGTCTTAGCTGCTGCAATGTATGGGCAGCATCCGGCACAGGGCCTGACAGTCATGTTACAGGCGCTGTGCATTCTGTTTGGATGAACAAGTGAATTCTGTTTGAATGGGAAAGATGATCTGGGTAGGGAGTACATGATGTGCACTGGCGCATTTTGGGTACTAAGGTAGATATGTCCATGAAATATTGACAAAGAAGGACAGTTTTGGTAGTTTAGCAGTTTACTTTGAAATCACTATACCAGATTAATTATAGGCACAGAGCTTTTATATAACAGGTTATATATTTTAGAAGAAATTTGGGCCAGCTAATCTGAGTTAAAATGATCACCTTTGCTGAATTAACCTAGATGGGAAACAGCTGAGAAAAGTGAAATAAGACATTAGAACAGATAATAGAGTTCAGAATCCACAACTATTTCAAATTATATTTATAAGCTTTAAGTGATTATAGTTTAAAGGAATTAAAATTTTATGTGCAGAAATGGATCACTTTTGCCATAACTTCAACTCCTGTCTTTCTTTCTTCCAACTTGGCAAAACACCAAACTCTGGAGCAGTCTCATCACCTACCTTCTCTTTCTTGGGAGGCATGGACTTTTGGTGCTGCCAAGATTGCTGTGCTCGTGCCCACAGCTGTGCCTCTCAGTCTTGCCTCTATCCTGTTCCACTGTTGCCAGAGTGATCTTTTTTAAGGAATTGGATTGTGTTAGTCTCTTCCTTGCTTCCTAAAGTTTTCAGGATAAAAATCCAAATCCCTGAGTATGGAAAACAGAGACTTTAGAGATCTAGCTTCGGAGCAGTCTTCTACGTCATTTCCTTATTTTCTCTGTACTCCAGGCGTGTTAACCCACTAGCATTTCTCGGACTGTTCAACCCTGTGTGAGGCAGGTATTGTCTCCATGTTCCTTTCATGTCACTTAACATAGGATAAATCAGTCTTCTTCTCTTCTCAAGGTTGTCAACTACAGGTCAGTTAAAATGCACCAACTTTACCTAATGTAGGAGTCTACATGTCTCTTCTCTCATTAGACTTGAACTTCTTTGAGTACAGGATACTCTATTCTCTCTTTAATTTCTAATGCCTATCGCTGCCTTGCATGGTAGAAAATCCTAGAAGTTTGTGATTTAGTTAAGATGTGAAGTAACAGAATTTATCAGAGGCTTAAAACACACCAGGCTAAGTCCTGGGTGTTATGAACATGTGAGAAATGAAGAACAGATTCCCCGCCCTGTTATAATCTTAGTTTTATGGAATGACGACTAAGATAAGTGACATATAAATCATTTAGTGCAGTGGTTCTTAACCTTCTTAATACTGCGATGTATTTCCATTGTTACAAAGGGTCGCTACCCACAGGTTGAGAACTGCTGATATAGAGACTAATAAAGAATAGTATGTGTGACTTCGATAAAATAATTTGAAAATAAAGATATAATCAAATTTCAAATCCTTGATATTTCACATCTGATTTTTGCTTAGTTTTTATCCTTAATATATACCATTACTAATACAGCTATGCCTTTTACTTATTTATCTTGTTATGTTCATAGACCCCACGAGAATGTAAGTTTTATGAGGAGTTTTCGGTGACTGGCACATGGTAGGTGCTTGGTAGTCAGTCATTGAATGGATGGAATGGAGAAAGAGTGAATGCTGGGAGATAGTATTTATGACAGAATTCATGGAAAAGTTATATCTTGAAGTAGATTGTGAGAGAGAAGTAGACCTTGAAAGAGTTTTATTAGAAGAGTTAGTGTTTATGAAATATGTTCGTTTAAGTAAATAATTACTGATTTTATTTTTATATGAATTTTTTTCAGGTGATATGGTACTCCTCATTTTCTCCTAAAGCTGTCTAAAGTTTGTTCAGCCTTCATTATTTACTTTTTTTTTTTGTAGTTTTTGGCTGGGGCCAGGTTTGAACCCTCCACCTCTGGTATATAGGGCCAGTGCCCTACTACTTTGAGCCACAGGCACTGCCCGGTACAGCCCTCATTATTAACTCCACTTAGAGGGTTTAACAACAAAGCCTATTTAATTAGAGTGAGTGATGCTGACCGTTTCTTTATATACCAGCTGCAGCAAATTCATTCACATTATAAGGTTTTTAGCAGAGTAACATATGTGTACAATACAGGTCTGCTGGAGGCAACTACACGTTGTATACAGATCGTCTTTATACTATACATTGTTTAGGTACCTGAGAACTGGTCTTTTACTGTCCATCTATCAAAATAATTGCAAAAAAATTGTAAGTCACAGACATAGTAAGGTTCTGGTTGTTTGTGATTTAGAGATCATAACTGATGATTATGACTATAAGTTCTTAGATTTTAGCAGTTTTAATCAGTGTTTTACGTATTTGTATGTACATGTACTTGTATGTCACATATAACTTATAATTTCAATTCCCAGTTTTATAGTTTCCTTCCTCTTCTGTTTTCTTCCTTAAAGAAATTAAAATTAGGTTTTGAATTTAAACTATTAAAACTTTTAATCACCAAAATATTTTTTGGCTATGAGTCTAAACATGTAGATAATACAAGTTTGAATTGTTTTAGAAAATAAAATTACCTATAACGTACTAGCTTCTCTTCTTCCAATTTTTTTCCCCCTAAGCACAGAATTAGATATCCTTAGGCACTTAAGCAGCAATAGACTTTAGTAAGTATCTAGTCTGCTTGCTTTATTTTAGAGATGAGGTAACTAAAACACAAGGACAAGTGATTTGTCCTCAGTTAACTGACAGTAGTTAATTAATGATAGGCCCAAAATAATATTTTCATCAATAGTTAAAAATTTAGTATAGTTAAACTTTGACTTAGCCGCTATCTTATTCTGTGCACATTAAACTTTAAGGCCATGTTGTTTCTAGAAATACATGTGGCTTTGATGGCATTTTGGAAGGATATTGTTTTGGTGACGCAGTAAAATGCAAGTAAGTTCCTGGAATTTGTTAGTCCACCAAACAGCCAGATTGAGTGTGAGTAAAGCTTCAGCAATACTTTTCCATTTTGATATATAGGCTGTTTAATAGTCATGTGAATAGAAGATAATTTTCATCAGTCTGATTTTAAGCCATTGAAAAACCCAACTTGCTCTCTAAATGTGTTACTTTTTTGCAACCTGAATATGAGGATTCACTCATATTTCATAGGAAGAGATTTGACCAATAAATGTATATTAAGGAAACCATGAAGAACAAGATTAAAAAGGAATTCAGTTAGTCTTTTCCTTTTTCTGTTGTTTTTGAACCTAAGAAGCTGTGTATGTATTTAAGTTGTATGAGTAGACTCTTGGATTAACTTAAAAATGGAAATGAAAAAAAAATCATGTGAATATTTTATACTTCCCTTGGGTTTTTTTTTTTTTTTTTTTTTGGTGATACTTTCCTAGGATTTATATTTTAGCTAAACTGAATTATATAAAAATAGTACCTTGTATTCTGTGGTTTTTGGTTTTTTTTTTTAAGTGAGGGGAAATCATTTTTTCTTGTGGGGAGATGATTATAAATATAACAGATTGGCTAAGAAATGGTTTAAGATGTAGAAGATTTTAGGCAACCTGAAGTTACTATTAGTGTAATTCCTGGTTGTAGTTCCTAATTCTAATTAAATTGGGTTATTTATTTTTAGTCAGTTGTGTTTGTATAATACACTTTTGATATAAAGAATACTTTGCTAGACATGTTAATGCTGCTTAATTTGACTTTGTTTAAAGTCTAATTGTGTGAGTTTTTAAAAAAATTACATTTTCTAACTATAGCCTGTGCTTTGCTATGGCAAGTTAGTAATTGACCTTTGTTCTATTTCAGATCCCTGCATGTCACTGAGTCCACCATGCTTTACAGAAGAAGATAGATTTAGCCTGGAAGCTCTTCAAACAATACATAAACAAATGGATGATGACAAAGACGGTGGAATTGAAGTAGATGAAAGTGATGAAGTAGGTGGAGAGACATTTCCCTTACACTCTCTTACAACACAATGACTGCATTTCTGATGTTAATGCTAAGATTCCTCATATGGCTCAGCTCCTTCATTTTTAGCTTCTTTAGTTTTTCTTTTTACATGTTAATTTTAGCTCTATATTTACAGTTTTTCTGGGTCCCCCATTTATATATAAGCATTCCCAGTTTTACAAAAATTTTCAGTCTCATATTCTTGGATTTCTTAAATATGTATCCATTCTGTCTCCACTGTATCAGTTATCTGTTGTTGCTTTATAAACCATCCCAAGATGTAATGGGTTAAGGCAGCGGTTCTCAACCTGTGGGTCGCGACCCCTTTGTAACAATGAAAATACATGGTGGCATTAGGAAGGTTGAGAACCACTGGCTTAAGATGACAACAGTTTATTATTTCTTCTTATTCTGTGGGTTCACTGGACCTGGCTAGGCAGTTCCTCTGTTTCCTTAGGTATGAGCTGAAATCACTATGGCAGTTGTATTCATTTGGGAGCTCTGCCGGGGCTGGGGTATCTAACATGGCCTCTTTTTCTTCATGATCTCTCTCTGTATGACCTCACATCATTTGGGAATCTAGCTCAAGCTTTATTCCAGCATGGCAAGTGGTAGTGTTCCAGGAAGGGAAGTTCCCATGTGCAAGCTTACCATGCTTCTGCTTGCCAACGTTCGCTAATATCATATTGGCTAAAGCAACTCATTTGGCTAAGCTCAGGATCTATATGGGAGAGAATTATACAAGGATATAGATAACCAGGAGATGTGGTTCATTAGAGGCCACCAATTTGGTAATTTACTGTACCCACTGCCTTTAGTTTTCATTCTCACCTTCCCCTGGTCTAGTCTCCCTCTTAGTTTCTCTGTCAAAGTTATCTTTATTTGACTGTAGTCTTATTCTAGACAAATCCCTTGGTCATTTTCAGACCTCTGACCTCTTTGTTGGATTTGTCATTGCTGGAATACCTTCAGTTTAAATAATGCTAAATTACATTGCTTTCTATCCTACTATCTAATGTTATATAACAGTGACATACTCTAATAACATTGTTATCCAGCAGTGATTTTCTTTAAGGATAAGCTCTTCACCTGCTGTTTCCTTTGAGAATGTGCATCCGTTTTCAGGTTATTCCTGACTCCTCTATCTTTAAACCAATCCGTATCCCTGCTCTATGGGTATTGCTTTCTGACTGATGTTTAGAGAGTTCTTACTTTAAACTTAGTATGTTTAAAACAAAATCTCAGTTCTCTTATTTTAAGTGTCTCCCTGTTTAATGACACGTAAATGACATGTAATGACATGTTTAACTGACACATCGTCTCAATTCTTATTCTCCTAAAGTAGGAGTTGGCAGACTTTTTCTATAGAGCCAAATTGTGGGTTAAGATGTGCCCTCCAAAAACATTTGTTGAAGTCATAACACTTAGTACTGCAGAAGGTGGTCTTATAGGGAAATTGTATCATTGAAGATATAATGGTTAAAATGAAGTCATACTGGACTAGGGAAGGCCCTTAATCAAATATGACTGGTGTCCTCATAAGAGGGAATAATACTATGTGAAGACACAGACACACAGGAAAAGATGACCATGTGACAGTGGAGGCAGAGGTTGAAGTTATTCTGTTACATGTCAAGGAATTGCCATTGACATCAGAAGCTAAGGGAAAGGCATGGAATGGATTCTCCCTGAGAGCCTTTGAGAGAGCGTGAGTCTTCTGACACCTTGATTTTGAACTTCTAGCCTCCAGATCTGTAAGAGAATAAATTTCTGTTGTTTTAAGCCATCCAGTTTGTGGTACCCTGTTATGGTAGTCCTATTAAACTAATATAAGCCAGTAGTAAATATTTTAGGTTTTGTGGGCCCTCTAGTCTTTGTTGTAACTACTCAACTCTACTCTACCACGGTAGTGTGAAGCAGTCATAGATAATACATAAACTAAAGGGCATGATTGTGTTCTAATAAAGCTTTATTTACAAAATGAGGCAGCAGGGTGGCCTGCATGCTGTAGTTGGACAATCCTACTATAAATAAGCTCTTATGTTCTTATAATTTATTCCTTTTCCTTCCTATCACCAATACCTCTTATCTGCTCTACTTATTTGCTTGTTTTATTTTAATTTAGCTGTTTTTTATTTCATGCCTACATTATTGCCTCTAAGTTTTTCCTTTCTAATCTATCATGATTATCACTTTTTTTTTTGCAGTTTTTGGTCAGGGCTGGGTTTGAACCCGCCACCTCCGGCATATGGGGCTGGTGCCCTATTCCTTTGAGCCACAGGTGCCACCCATGATTATCACTTTGAGAGTGTTTTTCTCTTGTTAAGAAACTTACAGTGATTTCTAACTGGTTATTAGGTCAGATATTAATTCTCTAGCCTTATATTTAATGTCTCTGGACCCATTCATTTCTGCTTTTTATTGTGGTTAAATCATTTTCATTAAGCTCAGTCTCAATGATATCAAAATCATAGTTTTCAGTGAGTGAGATGAAATTGATGGATTGTTTAGAGTTTATCATCACTAGAGAGCAATGTAAGCTAGTCTTTTATTGTAGGCCATTTTATTATATTGAGTAGATATTATAAGATATCTAGTAGATTATATTATCTTTATTCAACATTATTATCTTTATTCACTCTCTTGAAACACACACAAAATCAAACTATCAAATTACTTTTCAATAATAATCTAAACTATTATTGATGAATTATTCTTTCTAATCCTTCCAAGATTGTCTAATTGGTTAATTTAGTTGTCAATTTAGGTGTTTTAAGAATTTGAATGTTAAATATGTTAGTTCTTTATAGAGATAAATCATTCTCTAGGATAATTAGATTTTCTGGGTTTATTTTTGTACATTTTCTTAGTCATTTACAATATGATAAGATTAACTTTGTCAAACAAATTTCACATCAACTCTGAGATTAGACAGTGTTTAGTATATGGGTGCTTTGTGCAGTTTCCTTATTTTCTCCAGCAGTTAAAAGTTAGGGTGACTTTTAACATTGTACCTGTGCTTCTGTGTGGAAAGGACAGATTTTCTAGTATATTGATGATACTAAGTTTTCCGTTGGGTTTTTTTTTTTTTTTTTGAGACAGAGTTTCCCTTTGTCACCCTTAGTAGAGTGCTGTGGCATCACAGCAACCTCAAACTTTTGGGTACAAGTGATCCTCTTGCCCTCAGCCTCCTAAGTAGCTGGGACTCCAGGTACCCGCCACAACGCCCAGCTGTTTTTAGATAGAGGGTCTTGGAAAATCTGATGTCAAGCGATCCATCTGCCTTGGCCTCCCATAGTTCTGGGATTACAGGCATGAACCATCAATGCCTGGCCTTTTTCCTTTGATTTTGATACTATTTGAGGACTTAGATTCTATATAGCGTTATTAAAGGTTAGAAAACATGATAATTCTGAGGGATTATTTTGCAGTTGAGTGAAAAGTGGGATTTAGGGAGCACTATGATTAACTTTGAGAGTTGTAGTATTATAGTATGTTTGGAAAGATTGGTATGTATTTTTACTTTTTAAAATCTTCTGTAGTTTCAGAAGTTACACACTAACTTATGACAATTGATTTATTTTGGGCCCAGAATGAGGACTAGATTCTTTATTTTAAAAGTTGACATAATATATTTTGTTATTAACTTACATATCAATTCAAAGATTATTCTAGGATACTTTCTGACAACTGTCAATTCTCCAATTCTCTGACATCAGTTGGGTGTCCAGCAATTCAACTTAATTCTAACAGTGTCTACTTGGAGTGAGCATAAGCTCCCCCAAGTTAAAGGACTGCAGAACTCAGGAAAACATTTTACTTACATTTGACTAGCTTGTTATAAAATATACAATTTAGGAACATCCAAATGAAAAAAATGCATAGGGCAAGGCATGAGGGCGAGACATTAGGGGAAGGGCACAGAGCTCCCATATTCCCTCTGTGTGTCCCACCCTCCTGTTGCATTAATGTTTTCATGGCAGCTCTTGTTTAAGAGTTGGTTTTTTTTTTTTTTTAAAGGACAGAATCTCACTTTGTCACCCTTGGTAGAATGCTGTGGTGTCACAGCTCGCAGTAACCTCCAGCTCTTGGGCTTAGGTGATTCTCTTGCCTCAGCCTCCTGAGTAGCTCAGGCTACTGGCACTCGCCATGATGCCTGGCTATTACTTTGTTACTATTTGGCCCGGGGCCAAGTTCGAACCTGCCATCTTGGTATATTGGGCCGGCGCCCTACTCACTGAGCCACAGGCGCTGCCTTGTTTAAGAGTTTTTAAAGAGCTGCATCTTCTTGGAGGTCAATGGGTGGCACTGAAAGTTAAAATCATTTGTGAACAGCTATTTAGGGGCCCTACTGTAAGTTAACCTCATTAGTATAAACTCTTGGTGTTATTAAAATGTAAAATAAAAAGTGAGGTAAAATTAAATGTAAATAGAAATTGTAATTTTTTTCCTTTCTGAAATAGATTGGATTGTACATCCTTGTTGGGTCTGGGACACACCCAATTTGGAGACCACTGCACTAATGAATTGTAAATCAAGGTCATAAGTTACATAGACTTTAGTCCATTTTTATAAGAATAGACAACTGTGAAAATTTTTTAGGAAAGCAAGTTCCAGAGACACTGCTCATTTTTACATTTATTCTCTGATTTCCACTGTCACTATTATACACGTTTCTTCAACATATCAGTTACTGACCTTAGGATGGCTGTTCTGCTTTTTATGATTTAATTTAGCTCTGATACCTGCGATACCTGTAAGAAATGGTAATGTAAGAGTAAGGCAAAGCCCACTTATTTATATTAATATTAAGTTACAAAAAAAGACAGGGAATGAATGAGGCAAATTTAGATATATATCATTTCCATATGGGAAGACATGATTATGCTCTACATCAGGGGTCCTCAGAATTTTTAAGCGGGGGGCCAGTTCACTGTCCCTCAGACTGTTGGAGGGCTGGACTGCAGGCCCTGGGACGAGTCAG